TTAGGGTCTAGGGTTTGGGTTTAGGGGTTAAGGGGTTGGCCGGTCTTTGCCATTTATAAAGGAAAACAGTATGATTTAGACATTAAATCCTTATGATGGTGACTTAAACTAAATTCCTTAGCAAGCACTCGCGGCCTTTCCGGTTCGAAGGGGGGCATCAAATGCATCAAAACCTCAGATCAGACCTCACAATGGGATCACGGGATTGGGCAACCTCGCGGCCTTACCTCGGAGCCTCGCCCCTCACAACCTCAACACCTGACCTCGCGGCCTAACCCCGCGGCCGCGCGGCCTGACGACCCGACCTCTCGGCCTTGCTGCCTCGTGGCCTTATCGCGGCCTCGCGGCCTCAGGACCTAGCGGCCTCGTGACCTCGCAGGCCGCTCGCAAAAGACAAAAGCAAGTATTTGAGAAACAAGAAGCAAACCGCTCGAAAGGGACTAGTGACTAGAGTGTTTGAGAAGCGAGGAGCAAATCGCTCTAGTCCGTTTCGAGCGGTTTGCTCCTTGCTTCTCAAATACTCTAATCCTTTTTGAGCGGTTTGCGCTTTGTTTTTCAATCGCTCTAGCGGCTTGCTCTCTGTTTCCCAAGGACTCTAGGCCTTCGCGAACAGTATGGCCCATTTTCCAAAAACAGTCCGTTTCGAGCGGCTTGCTCCCTCCCCGTTTCTCAAATACTCTAGTCTTTATCGAGCGGTTTGCTCCGTGCGTCTCAAACACTCTAGTCCGTTTCGAGCGGTTGCTCCTTGACTCTCAGGCAATCTAGTCCCCTTCGAGCGGCTTGCTCCCTGTTTCTCAAACACTCTAGTCCCTTTCGAGCAATTGGCTCCCTGATTCTTACACACTAGGGCCCTTTCAAGCGGTTTGCCTCCTGTTTCTCAAATACCCTAGTCGTTTTCCAGCGCTCTGCTCCGTGTTTCTCAAATACTTTATCCCTTTCTGGGTGGTTTGCTCCTTGTTTCTCAAATACTCTAGTCCCTTTCGACTGCTTTCCTCCCTGTTTCTTCCCTAAACCCTAAACCCTAAACCCTAAACCCTATACTAATCCTACATCCTCAAACCCATTCCGATCTGGCCCAGGTTCGGCGACCCCATCGGCATCTCGTGTCGGAGAAGGCAACCGAATCATTAAACCTTAAAGCCCTAAACCCCTAAACCCCGAAACCCTGAAGCTTAACCCCCAAACCCTGAAGCTTAACCCCTAAACCCTGAAGCTTAACCCCTAAACCCGAACTCTAAATTGTTGAGCCCTTGGAACGCTTAAACCCCAGTACCGAATCCACAAGTCCCCGAAACACCAAATCTGAACTCTGTGAAGCTTTAGACACTGACACCCCATAAACAGGGTTCAGGGTTTAGGGTTTAGGGTTAACTATCCCCTGAACTCCTAAACCCTCAATGCTAGAGGGTTTCGGCTTTCGGGTTACTTGAGCAGCCCCACTCTCTTACCCGCGAAACGCGACCTGGACTTTTGCTTTATCCTGCCTGCATTGAGGATACTCCGTCATAGTTGCATGACAACTTACATGTTTCTGGGCACTTAAACTCAACAGCGAATAGATATTTGCAAGTTCATGACTATCCCAACCATGAACTAGGATAATCTCAAGGTGGAGGATCAGAGGGCGAATTGGTTAAGGGTTCAGGTTAAAAAAATGCTTTAAGGCTTAGGACGGGTTTAGGGTGCAGGGTTTAGGACTCAGGGATTTGCCGGGTTTAGCCTTCAGACCGTATGTCATTGGATGGCTCATCACGAAGCCCTGTACCCTCAAGGGCTTTGGCTTTCGGCTTTCAGGTTTAGGATTTGGGGCTTCAGAGATCAAGGACCTGGTAGTTAGCGTTAGGGGGTGAAAATCTGACTCAAGTAAGGAATATGCCTTAAATAGCATAGCAATCAGATGAAGGATACCTATGCACTTATTGCCGGATTCGGTGGTTTTCGAGTCGTTGCTGTTCCCGGGGACCACATCTGCGTGCTAAATGCCACATCCCCTACATGTACAAAGGAGACCAGCGGACGAAGCTGCAATCCTCACGCTAAGACATAATGTACGGACCCCCACAAGCCTAATGGGGGCACCGTTGCGGCGGAGCGCAGGGCTTCCGCAGATGGTCCTCTACATCAGGTCCCTTTACGTGAACCACAGAACATCCACGTCCGTCTAAGGGGATCAGCCAAGGTCAACAAGGGCCGACGGCTCCGCCGGTGTTTGCAATCTTCGAGAACGAGTGGGGAGACCGATACGAGTTTCCGGCACCCGGGAACCTCAACGTCTTCCTCATGCCACCGACGGCGAAAACCCAACCCTCGCCCCCAAATCTGGGATTGGCCAGAAGGCAGCACATGAATGATAATGGCAACCCTAAACCCTAAACCCATGGTGTCCCCCGATTTGTCTGAACCCAATCAACTCTCAGGCCCCCTTCAACCCCGAACCCCAAAGCTTTCTGCCAGAACCCGAAAGTTGGATGCAATCTGAAAGCTGTACAAAACCCCCAAAGCCCATAATATAGTGGCCTCAATATTATTAATAATAATACAAATAACTACAATCATAATCATAATAATAGTAGTAATA